CAAACATCTTTAATAGGATCAAGATGAACCATAAACACCATCCCTGAACAATCTAATCTGTAGCACTACATTAACTCTGTTATTCAGCATTTCAAGATCTTTGCCACATTAATGTTCCTCTTGACGTATTAATTCACATTGGCAGCTGTCTTCAGGGCTGGAATGTTCCATTAACAGCTTTTATCTTCAGAGAGATTCAGGGGAGATCATAATTGTAATACTTTTCATAGAATTTAACCTCAAACACCAATTCCTGGCAGTAGAAAACTTAAAGGTTAAACCAACTCGGTTCTCTAGTTCTAAATAATATATTCACATATATTTCTTGTCCACTCACTTAGCATCTATTAGTCATTCCCCACAAAGGTTCTGCAGGCACAGATATGAAAATACAAAGATAATTTACAAGATTTCTAGTGCAAAATCTCAAAAGTAGTAGTTTGACATTTTGGAAAAAGTTGGATGAGAAGATTCTTACTAGAAGACTACAGTAAGCTTGTTAGCTTAGCGTTAAAACTGGAGACATAGTTAACATCCTAGCCTTGTCTAGCCTTGTCGTCACCGTGATTCGTCTTCAGGAAATCAACGCTACTGTTACATAGCCCTCCATAAAATCCTTACTCGTCGTTTATACATTTGCAGATGTTGATACCTTTGGATTGAGCTAAGCTAGCTGTTTCCTTTTTGCTTAGATAAGATAACCTTCTGGTTGCAGCAACTGCTTTGTAGGCGTAGTATAAAAGTCATGAAAGTGGTGATCCTCTCATCTAATTTAAAAAAAAGTGTACTTCCAAAATGTCAAACGATTCCTTCAAATATTTTGACACAGTGGTTGAGGTCTTATGTTTGCAACCAAATTATCTGATCAGATGTCTGCTGGCAAATCACACAGAGGAATAGAGTCATGGACAAGTGCAGAAAACACGTCTGTTGGCAGGGAGAACGATGAGTTCATTGAACATCTTTGATTTCCAAAGTCGAGGGAAGTTCTTCTTGGAAGCCAATTAAAGGAGAGTTCCAACCTCAGATTCACTGTGTGAACACATTGGAACTACTGTGAACACATCCAGGAGATGGTGGGAATCTTTCATCCTAACCCATCGGCTTCCCAGAATCTCACAAACAAAAGCAATGAACATAATGTATTTAAGAGTGGGATTAATATATAATAAAGCTCAGGCTGTATTGGATCTGTTAGACATTAATTCTTACTGAATATATGTTCTTCTTTCTTCTAATAATCCCAAATAAATTTACAGCTGGATTTTACTTGTCACAAATGACTAATATCAATATCAAAGCTTTTTGTCATGAAGGTACAGCATAGAGACTAAATGTGCAGCTCATGCATTAAACACTCTTGTGTCTTTTACTTCAGGGCCATTTTAGTCACTGAAGCATTGAAACCTATTCTACATATGAATACACACCCACACGCAATTTGCATCCGTAAGAGGTGCACAGCATGCGCTAAATGCTTCCGGCACAGCGTTTGCATTGTGGTCTAATCGAATCGTCATGTTTATAGTGAGATATGCGTAACGCATTTGTCTTTACGTAGATGCTGTTTTTAACGTTTAGCGTCAGGCCTCCGGTTTCTGGGTTGGACAGGCAGAGAGGGGGAGTCGTGACGAAAGGCTGATACATCGGGGGGGGGAGACGGGACACAGTAGATAGGAACAACAAGAGGAAGCTGTTTTCCCTTTTTCAGTTCATCCCGGTTCAATGTGCAGCACTGGCATGAATGTGTAGAATAATATCAAAGCAACAAGATCAAAGAATGTTTTAACATTAAATCCCTTTCAGCTCACGAATGCGTGAGTGTGTTTGTGTCATTTCCCGGTGCAAGGGCGGATCTGAATTTGCTTTGAATTTAGATATTTAATCACATATCATTGATGGAGCATGTGGAGGTTTACCGCATGATTCTTGATCTATATGAATCATTTGTAATTATCTTTCAAGTACACAGAATAAATGGTATTACCAACCAGTAGAGGTGGGGCAGCCATAAATTCAGAAAACGTTCAACCTCCAATAATGGATTCTTCAGGCCCCCGAGGAGGGGGGGGGTCCTGTAAAAACGGCATCAACATAATCGTCACCGTCAAAAGTTATAATGGAAATGACATTGGCAAAGTCTTTTTCATATGAACATATCCAGCAAATACAGAGTAATATAGACATTAATGTAGAGCTCTCCACTAACTATCGGACTAGTTGCAAAATGCTCCACCATGTTTACCAGACAGCTGCTAACATTGCCTGTCTGCATTTCATTTCAAATATTAGCAGACATTAATACAGAGGTTCGGCAACCCTCTCCAAATAAAAACGACTTTTATTTATTCATCACGTTCGTTGCGCAGTGATGAAAATACGATTTTTTGGTCAGCACTAATGCACATTGACGTGGGCCTGAATCAGTCGAGGGAAAAACAAGATGCCCTAGGCTGGATATGGAGCGATGAGGAGGGGAGAAACTGAGAGATGGATGGGTGGATAAAAGGCTTTCCAGGTCTCTAGTTCAATGCTCAGTGGTCTTGGTTAGGTCAATGACAAAAAAAAACTGTCCCCTGTATGACACAAGCGCGCGCACACACACACACACACACACACACACACACACACACAGCACTGATGGGATAAGTGGTTTAGATCCACTTAGATGAGAGGTTATAGTTTGGGGACAATGGATGAGTCCTCCCAGTGTGGGTGGGAGAGAGAAAGAAAGAGAGATCAATGTGGTCCTTTGTGTCTGGAGGTGAACTTGGAAGAACACACACATATACACACACACACATACACACACAAAAACAATTACTATCACCTTGAGCAGTTTTTTTTAAACTTTGAATCCAAAATAGTGTTGAATGCACATTGCGTCATACACTTTGTAACACACTTTCAAAGTTAGTTATTTTCATTTCATTAGATGATACGGCCCATACTGTCACAAGTAACAGCAGCAGGATGTAGTGTGTTATATCTAACCCTCCAACATTGCACAGACAAAAATGGCAGCTCACATTATCTCAACACAGTCCAAAGAGCTGACCAGTCTTATAAGGTATTGCTTCAGCTCTGTTCCTGCACACCTGATCCAATTAAGAGCTGCACCTTCATTGTATAAGGTGTGCAAACACAAGGCAGTAGTAAACCTTGCACAACAAATAGGCTTTAGGTCTGGCTTGAGAAACATTTCTTGTGTATTATTTAAGTAGCATTGGACTGTAAACAGAGCATTGACATATTATCACCCCATAAGGTGTTTTATGGTTAACAGTTGCTTATTTATGCATCCAGCTGGCATGTAGCAACATTTGCATTCATCTGGAGTCGTGGCTCTCTCGGTTGCTGATGAAACCTGGGAAACATCTGGCTCTTGAGCTGCTAAATGCTATCCGCTATGTTCGCCTGCTAGTTGCTGACTTGTCCGTCTGTTGGTTCATCCTGGTTCTGGTAGTTTGCAGTGGGGTTTTTGGAGCATGTTCACAAAAACAAAATAGTTTAATTCGGGCGGTAAGAGTGAACTAAATATGTATGCTCTGAAAAGTCAAAAAATGAATGTAATAACAGGAACTGTGGAGTCAGGTGATAATTCTCTGTGTTCATACATAGTCAATTAATCCATCGTCAACAAAACATCTAGATCAATATAACATCAAATGTATTCATCATGGACCATGTAACTTTGCCAAAAATAATAAATCCAAAACTAAATGTAGCTACCAGCTACTCTCTGTTTTCTACCAAATGTAGCTACTAGCTACTCTCTGTTTTCTACCAAATGTAGCTACTAGCTACTCTCTGTTTCTACCAAATGTAGCTACTAGCTACCGTACTGGCTACTAGCTTTGCTGTGTAGCTTAAATTTGGAGTCGGCATGAGGGTTCCAAAGAGTGACTGATGAATCGTCGACTCACACACCATTTGTCATGTTAATATTGAACAATATGTATCCCACATAAAAAATATGTTTTATCAATTTGCCAACATCTTTCTCAGTATTTGCTGAGTAAATGTACAATTAGCAGTAGCACATAGTATGGGATTGGGGCATCGTTAGGATGAGCAGTAAGTTGTCATCTTTATTCATTACAGTAGCTCTGATAGATCTGATTCTATCAAATACTTGCACGGTGTAACAATTGAGAACTAGCATTAGATGGAAAGTGAGAAAATTAGGGCCTGCTGCAAGCTCCAAAGCTGGAACTTCCCACGGGTATTTTATTTGTATAACCAGAAGATCTCTCTTGCCATGACAGTTTGAGCCTAGAAGGCCTATCTAAGCACAGGTGTAAATAATGCAATTGATGATGTCTGTCATGGCTTGCTGGGACACTTCAATAACCCATAGCCGTTAGTGTTATTTGTAACACCTGTGCTATTCCTGCCACTTACTGACTTGTACTTTTAATTGACATTGGACTTTTGTTGTGATGAAGACATTTTGTTTCTTTTAATGAAACCAAACAATTACACTCCGTCATGATGGATACCTGATATTTTGAATCCTTTTGTTTTACTGTATTTCTATTTTTGTGTTTGCACAATGAGAGGAACAAATAACCACAGTCAAATTCCTGGTATGTGTACTCATACCTGGCTGATGCGGATTGTGATGCAATGCAATGAGTCCACCATTGCCTAAAGATGTACCTCTACAGAGTGTCATTTCTTATGAAATTGTGTTTTGTTTGTGTTAGTGGCGGGTTGTACAATCAGTCATTTCTTCTTGATGCCAATTCCCTCCATGTTGTCACATAGGCACTGGGATGTCAGAGGGCCTATCATTTTACCAAAATACCCACAGCAGTGCCAGACAATCCACTCAATACTTTCACCATGAAAACAACTCTTACACTTTTCAGACAGAGTTCCAGTTTTTGACAAATGGCGGAATGACTCATGTCACTGTTGTGGTTAACTCTTGGATGAAGAAATAATAATAGAACATGATAAAACCTTTTCCAATGTTGTGTTTGTAATCTCTTCAGGAACTCTACATACTGCATGAAAGTGTCCATGTCCATGATTGTGGAGGAGCGGGATGAGGGGAGATGCTTCAGCAGCAAAATCCGACATCTGGAGAAAGCTGAGATCACCCATAGCAAAATGATCACCTGCCCTGATATAGAAGACTATTTGGCCCCGTACAAGCAACCGCAGATGACCTGGTATAAGGTACGACACACAAAAAAAATCAGCGTAACCATACCCGAGTCATCTGTAGACTGTTGTAACTTGATCAGGCTGTGTGTCTTTCTCAGGAGTGCGAGCGGGTTGAATGGAGAAGCTCCATTACTGTGAACACTACAAAGATCTGGATTCCTGTGGTGGAAGAGGGTGACGGGGGAAATTACACCTGCGAGTTACAGTATGGATCCAGACTGGTGCGGCGGACAACAGAGCTCAAAGTTACAGGTAGGACACGGTTCATGGATGGATGGATCTTTGAAAACATAGGATGGGACAGGGAATGATATGCAATTGGATGGTTCGAGTTTGGACAGGACTGGATACTATACAATCTAACGAGAAAGCATTGAATGACCATGAACATGACATTGGAAGATATGATTGAATAAAAAAGGGACTGATGATGGTTAAATCACTGCTAAGCCTCTAGTTACTAATCTGGACGGATAAACAACCAGGGGACCCTCACCGGAGGACCTCAGGCTGCTGTCCTACTCATAAGAGGTTAAGGAGCTCACAGATGTATTTTGGGGCTAGGCCTAATGTATCCCCAAAGGTAATTATTACAATTATGAAATGAATTCTGAAAGCCAGTGGAGGGAGGCTAAATAAAGGGTGATGAGGTCTTGCTTAATTGAATTTGTTAAGATGCTTGCTGCTGCATTTTTATCGTAACTAATCACGAGAGAGAACTCGTGGACACGGATAAATGGAGTTACAGTAGTCTGAACGGCATAAAATAAAGAATGGATACTGTTCTCAAGGTCAGGAGATACAAATGGTTGACAATATCTCATTTTTCGACTGTTGTTTTAACCTTTTTGACTTTAGCATTAACACAGTTTGACTCCAAGGTAACATTTATTGACAACTGCCAATGTTGCCTTGAACAGAGTTGAGGAGAGCAAATAACGATCGCTGATTAATAGTCTTTTAGTTGCAGGAAACTGTATAACATGCAGCACTTAATCCGGTCAAGTCTGTTAATAACTGAAGGCGTTTTCAGACCAAACCGTTCTGGGGACTCTCTGAGAGGAAGTGTCCTCTTTTCCCCAAGTGATATTGGTACATACAGCCGGGTGTTGTCAGCATAAAAATGACAAATTTGCAAGCGATGTCCCCGACACCACAAGTGAAATGGGCAGTCGAAGAAGAGGCATTACCAATGGTAATTAAGAATGTTTTATATGTTGTCATTTGTTTTATGACAGGATAGGATAGATAGGATGGCGTCTGTTGACTGCTGTGGATTGTAAAGGTCCTGGGTGTCCATTGGGTCAGGCAGACTCAGACTGTATATGCCAACACTAGGCTACTTGGGTATCAAGTATCAATTCAATCTGTCTTATTTTGCAGAATTGATTAATTATATGTGCATTACACCACTCCACGCGAGTGGTTTCGGGTAAATTGACGAATCAAAGATAGAGAGTGGACTCAAACCATGACAGAAATATGTACTCTGGCTGCTTTTAATATACAATGGATCTCTCAGTGACGCCAGAGCATCCATTATTTTTGACAGATGCCTGACTCAGCAATACATCATTCATCATTACTGCAGCACTTTTAAAGTTTCCTCTTTGCAAAACACAACTCTACTCTAAAACAATAGAGTGCATTCACATTCATGGCACCATGTTGTGTATTTGCGTTTGGTCTATTTGTTTTATTCCCAGATTAAACACACATTTCTTCAAGCTTCGGTGGCTTTTGACTTAACTTCAACTCGGCAGTAACATCTGCACTTCGCTGTTCAGAGTTTAAGCTGACTTGCATCTACACTTTTGTGCTGTGTGTGTGTGTGTGTGTGGGGGGCTGCAGTCCCTTTGATTATGTGCACATGCATGCTTGAGTTTTGACATTGTGCCATGTGCATAATGCATGTTGGTGTCTGTGAGCAATGAATGACAACATTGTGTGCTTATTTTCAATGACACACACAACATGCACCCTGCCTTTGCTTTAACACATTCAGACACTTTCCCACACACACACACATACACACACACACACACACACATAAACTGAGTGATTCTCTAGTCTGACATAATGGGTGTGCCATGACAAGCAGCAGAGAGTAAAACTGGATCCTCCTTGAACAACATCCTTTGAGTATGCTGTCATGCATTTAGTTCTCCATATCTCTTATATTTTGAATTCCAGGACCAAAGTCTGTGTCTTCTTCATCTTGCACCTTGTGATTTGGTTCAGATGTACGGCAACCTTTTGTTCAGTGGAGTCGATACGAAGGCATCGCTTCAGTTGTCAAGGAATTGTTCAGAGCCACTTTTCCTCACTTCCCTTCATGTACTCTCTCCCATGGAGGAAGATAACGCGGGAAAACCACATTTTCTACCAGTTTGGTTTATTGTGTAGGGAAATAGCTCCTGATGATTCCCGTGTTGAGTCGTCACGTCGCAACATCTCTCAGATTGTAGTGACAGCATTGCTGAACACTTTGATCAGATATGATTCCTTTTTATTCTGCATGCAGAGCTTTGTGTTTTATTAAATGTGATACAGAGAGGTCTACAGAACTATAGTGCTGTGTTTTTCCTTAAATACAATACTAATACAATACTTTTCTGTTGCTTGTCCACATTGACCATGGCTAACACAATGCTGTTCATACATATTAACAACAATAACCGTACAAATGCAATTACAACACAGCCAAAGGATCACCTTCTGCCAGTGTTGTAAGCAAGACCATTGAAACCGAGACCACGTCACGTCCAGAAACAGACCGCTGCAAGTGACACACCCGTCTGACATGTGGATCATGCAAACCAGAGGCCCTCTTCAAATTGGTCTGAAAAATCCATATTTCCATAAAAACACCCACAGAAGACTCCTATTCATTCACTTATTTTACAACCAACTATACTGTATAGAAATGTTCCAAACAACAAATATTAATATTTCAATTTTAAGAAGCAAGATCCGAGATTTGGAGTAATATTGTTGCCTTTCAATGGCTCTCGACATGGCCGGCATCTCACAGCCACTATATCTTTACATAGCAAATACCTGTGGTTAAAACACAGTTTATTCTCCTGCATGCATCTACATTAACGGGGCAATCTAGCATGACAGCACCACAGACAATCCAAGCTACATTCGAAAAAACCTAAATCCAAACTTTGACTGAATTTGGGAAAGAGGAGGTGGAGGCAGATGGGTGCTGGGAGAACAAGGCGGGTTGGAGGTGAGTCAGGAGAAGCTAATGAGTTCAGATCAGAGTGAAGAACCGCTGCTGCTGCAGGAAGAGCAGCAGCTCTCCACGGCAACAGCTGAGACAGCTGTATGCTAACCCCTGGAACTACAAATACAGCAAAACTTGTGTTTTCAAGTTGACACAAATTAAAAAATTCCAGGTAGCAGAAGTCATGATGGGAAAAAATAGACAAAAGATTTGATTGGTCTTTTCATACACAAGGAAGTTTCATGTCTCTATCCCCGTGCTGTTGTTTCTGGATCATTATCAGAAAAGTTACAGAAATGAGCAGAGAAGCAAACTAACATATGGGGACAGAATAACTCAGTGAAGCAATATAAGCATGAACCAAGATGTTTGTGTGTGTGTGTGTGTGTGTGTGTGTGTGTGTGTGTGTGTGTGTGT